CAACAACAACAACAACAACAAGCAACAACAACAACAACAACAACAACAACAACAACAACAACAACAACAACAGCAACAACAACAACAGCTGGAATATTGTTGCACTAATTGCTATTTGTTGTTGCTATTATCATTATGTAATTACTTTAACATTTAAAAAAATGAAAAATAAGAAGTTATTGTAAAATAGAGCAGTAGTAAGGACGTCGTGTCCTCTTTTCATCATTGTTATTATCACATATTATTATTATAATAGAAAAAATAAAACTTTAAATTACCTAAAAATTATTTTCAATTTTAATAAAAATATCATAGAAAAAAGAAAAGAAAACAAAGGAATATTGTCGTGAAAAGATGTAAAAATTTAGCATTATTACGTATAATCATAATAAATCAAATTAAATTTTTCTCTAAGTTTTCTTTTTTTTCTTTAAAGAAAAAGAAGACAGAAAGAGAGAAAGGAAAATTTTATGGCAATAGAAAAAAATTTTTTCGAAAAATTTCAAATTTAATAAAATTTCTTTGAGAATAAAAGGAAAAAAAAGGAATGGAATATTTGTATATCATATTATATAATATTTTTATTAAATACTTTTGCATTTATTAATAGCTATAAAAGAATGAAGGGATTTAATAATTTACAAAGTTTGAATTTATTATATTTTGAAAGAATAATCATTTTGGATCAAATAAAATTTTCCGCTTTATTGTCTCTTTCCCTTTGAAAGGATGATATTTTATTCAAGTATACATTGGAAAAAACAAAAATAAAAAAGGAAATTGAAAAACGATTTATCATTTTACTGAATAAATTTGTAGGGAATGAAAAATTCACTTTTTAATTCCTATTCTTTAAACAGTTCATCCTTTCACAATGTTTTGCTTTTATTTGTTAGTTTTAGAGCAGGGAGAAAAAGGAAGGATGAGCTAAAAGAAGTGCTGATGTGAGAGAGAGAGAGAGAAAGAAAAATAACGAGAGAAAGAAGAGCAGAGAGAGAGGGAGAGAAAAAGAAAAAACAAAGGAAAGAGAGAAGAGGGGTGAAAAGAGGAGAAATAAAAATATTTTGATATCATATCACATGGAAGCTATTTAATTCTTGTAGTAATTGATTTGCAAATCTCAATAATTAATTAAAAAATCTATTTTTGCATTAATTTATGCATTCCATTAGCTTATCTAAGCATAAACAACTTTGGTCGTTTATTGATTATAAAAGTACTTTTTCTTTTTATTTTTAAATTTTTTATTTTATTTTTTCCCATTTCTCTCCCTCATTTTCCCTATTTTCTGCTGCAAATTACAGACGGATTATTGGAGAAAAAAAAACAAAAAAGAAACGAAAGAAAAAAGGAAAAACTGCAAAATGTAAATATTTACGAGAAAAAAAAAGACCTTCAAAGCATCATATTTATACAGAGATGTATAATGAAATTTGTGATAATGATAACGATAAATAACTGATAAATGTATTATTAAGATAAAATTATCACTTTGTGATATGATAAACTACAAGTTATCATTTATATCAATTTTTTAATTCTTTTTTCAAATGAATTTCATCCAAATAATTTATAATATTTATGATAATTGTATGGTGCAAATAAACAAAAACAAAAAACACGAAAAAAAGGAAGCATTATTTAAATTAGTTTGCTAAAAATTACCATCATAATTTTGATAACAAAATATTATCAATTAACAGAAAGAAAAATTGAAGGAAAAGAAGGCAGAAAGAGAGAGAGAGAGAGAGAGAAAGAATCAGACAAAAATAGTTGTAATGAAATTGAAAAATAAAGAAAAAAAAAATAAAGAAATAAGTTAAGATGAAACCTACTTGAGATGTGTTTGATTGTCGTCATTTCCTCAATTTTATTTCACACGATGATCAAAAATATTGCCTAATAGAATATAATAATTTCCAATTTCATTTAAATTCAATCATCGAATGCTGCAAAAAAAAGAAAAAAAAAAACGTAATTTTTTTTTTTTAAATTTAAATTGCATCCAAAATATGATTTTATTTTCATGAAACATATAAAAATTACTCGCTAATTACTTATCCAATTAAATCGATCAATATTGAAAATAATATTTGATAACTGATAATTATAGAATATATCGATTATAAATGCCTTATGCCTTATTGTTATTGTGTATTATCAATATTAGATATTATAATCGTTGTTGTTATCATCATTGTTATTATCATTACTATCATCTTATTTTTATCATTGTTATTATCGAATTATTAGTTATTGGTCAGTTAATAGCTAATTAAAGTAGCAACAATATGTTTCGTTCTCTCTTTTTTTTTTTTTTTTTTTTGCTCATATCACTTCTCAATAACAAATATAATGAAACAAATGTAATTAAATTAAATTAAAACAACAAAGAAAAAAAAAAGATTTTCCTCATTACTGAAATTTGATAACGAATAATAATATAATTTCAAATAGAAAAAACAAAAAATTCTATAAATGAATAAATAAAAGTACTAAAAGAATATAAAATTAGAAATAATAAAAATTTCAATTCTTAAAAATAAATTTTTTCAATTAAAACATTTAATTTAGGGATAAATTTGAGAAAAAAAAAAAATGTTGAAAATCTCAAATGTTTTCCGATATTTATTTGTGCAACAAAGTGGATAATAATAATATCAGGAATTGATGTGTAACGTAACTCTTCCCTATTTCTTCTCATCTATGCTTTGTCTCCTTAATTTTCATACTATTTATTATGAAATGCGATCAGTAAGATGCAACATACATACATACACACACACACACACACACACACATACACATACATACATACACACATACACACATACACATACACATATACATATGCACTTATACACATACGCATATACATACACACATACACACAAACACATACACACATACACATACATACACACATGTACACATACATATGCATACATACACATACAAAGATACATACTTGAATACGCAGATGACAAATTGAAAATCCATTTAATTTTTTCGCAAATTCTTCTCATTTTTCAACTTGATGAGTTTCCGGCGGTTTTTCCTTTTTTTCCGTCTTTTTTTTTTTCCTTTCAAATATTTAAAACAAAACACAAAATATGAGAGAACGATAAGTAGAGAAAAGAAAAAAAGATATATATATATATATATATATATGTGAAAATTTGATGTAAAAAAAAAAATTTCCTGAAGATTACTTTAAATGTATAAAAGTAACGTGTAACGTGTGACGTGTAAAATATAACGTATAATGTGTAACATATAACATATAACGTGTAACGTGTAGCATAACATTGATATATATATATAT